TGATCAGTTACATGTTAAACCTCTGCACTGTGTTTACACAATGTGCAAATGATATATACAATTAACATACATATATCTGTTATGTTGCTATTGATGAATGTAAATGTAAAATTATTGATACTGACTTATCTCCCTGCTCGAATAAAACATTGTCCACATGAGACAGAAGACGTCAGAACTTTTCTTGTAGAACAGTCAATTTAAATCTGCATTGACTGATCAAGACTCGAGATTCATTTAGCATCTGTTTCCACGTTTCAGCTACGTCCACTTATGTTTGTCTGATCTCTTTCATACTTCGTCTGTCCTTGATTTCAAACATTCTTCTTTGTTTAATTAACCAACGTCTTCTACTATTGTCGTCATCATCATCATCATCATCATCATCGTTACTTCAGATGTAGCAGTGAGTGTAAACACCTGAGGATCAAAGGAACCGGTTGATCTGGATCCAGGGCTTTGATCACCTGCTCACTGCGGCTCCTGCTTCATTCTCATGCGGTGTCATGAACCACAAACACGGGCCAACCACAGCAGCCTCCACCGAACTCCAGCAGAAAAACCTCTCATTTATAAACTCCTCGTTTCATCAGGGGTATGAAACACAAGTACGCGTTTCTAAAGAATCTGTCAATGTTTCAGGTGACATCGGCATCAACAGAATCCACACTTTACTCCCATGAAACGTCAGGTTAGTGTGCAAGGATCGATGCCGCCCACCTCGGCCGTGTTGTGGGAGTCCCTGTGTCCACGGTGACAGCTGGGTTCTATTCAACACACAGACGTGCAGGGGGGAACAGCGGCTGGTACACGAAGGCACACGGATTCATACTAACATCAGTCACACGCTTCATCTGACAGATTAGTGATCGGGGAAGCTGCGTCCTGTCCGCGGTTAGCTAACCCCACCCTGCTGAGCTAACTTGGCCTCCCGAAGACGAGGTCATCGCCCCGGAGGCTCGAACACGACCCAGGGGCGGCTGAGGGCTCCCCGGGCCGGTTCTCCCCAGGACGCGGCTAAATGTGTGCAGCACAGCCGGAGAAAAGCTCCCCCACCCGGCCCAGCAGCCGCTCGGCTAACGCTAGCGAAGTGCGTGAGATCCGCTTCTAACTAGCTGTTAGCATGTTAGCTCCTACCTGGTGCCCGCCTTGTCCCCCATCTCCTCGGCACGGCAGGCGGACGATAGAAGACCCCGACAAACTGAGCCTGGAGGCGGGGAAGGATGGACGTTAGAACCGGGGAGTGTTGACGGAGCTCCGCTCACTAGATCCGCTCAGAAGATCCGCTCCGATAACGACTCAGTCCGGATGATAATTTCATTTAGCGCCGCCTCGACTGCTCCGACTTCCGCAAAGACAGGATGTGTGTGTGTGTCTGTGTGTCACACACACAGACACACACACACAGAATTAAGACAAACAAGTCTCAAACTCTTTATAAAGAAGATTCCTGATGTTTTGTTCTTGATGTTCACATTAGTGATAT